TTACAGTACTTGTTTAGAATTAGACAATCAGGGATAATGGTATACTTCCTATGGGTACCGGCTCATACTGGGGTGGAGGGAAATGAGGAAGTGGACTGCTTGGCTAAGATGGCTCTGAAGCACTCAGATAGTGAAATTAATATAACAATTAGCAAATCTGAAATCAAGAGAATTATATCAAATGAAGTAAGAAAGATATGGCAAAAGTTATGGGATAGTGGAATAAAAGGAAAACATCTTTACCAGATACAGGGGTGTGTAGGTGAAGAGAGAATAAGATGTGGGAGTAGGAAGAAAGGATTGGACATTCAGCTTTAAATGTCAATTTACACAAATTAGGGAAGCATGAAAATGGAAGATGTGATAAATGTGGGAAGCCAGAAACAGTAAAGCACATTCTTCTAGAATGTGATGCGTATGAAAGAGAAATAAATCAACTTAATCATAAATTAGGTTTGATGGGACATGATAAAGTATCACTCAAGATATTACTAGGGAATAACCAAATGCAATCAAGAATTAAAGAAGAAGTGTTCAATTATCTAAAAAAGACAGGAAATATGGAAAGAATATAAATTGTAATTGTGGTAAAAAAAAAATATATTTTTTATTTATTTATTTTTTTTAATGTCCTTATCTCTACCAAATCTGTTCACTCCACACTCCAGATCAGTAGGTGGCGGTAATGCACCTTTAAGTTGGTTTGCCAAAACCGCCAATAAACATCAGAAGAAGAAGAAGAAGAATTACGTCAGAATCTTCTACTTCACCTGCTGAATTCACTATGGCAACAGTCTCCAAGATCTGCGCGGGACCAATCGAGCCGCCGGAACAACACGACCACTGCGTCGCCTGCCTGGGCCTGGCCCACGCCATGGCGGCGCTGGACGAGTCCGGCTGCGGGCATTGCGCGGACCTACCGGCCCGCGTGCTCCGGACCCGCCGCGATGTGGCCAAAAGGGTCGAGAAGGGTCTGGCTGCAGCTGGCGCTTGCACTTCCGCTAGCGACGTCACTTGCAGTCTTTATTATTTTTTATTTTGTTATATTTATTGATTACTTTTTGTTTGAATCTCTCAACATTTTACAACAGTAGCCAGGTGGTGAAGACAAGAAAAAATAAACTAAATTACAGTGTCACTTGCAATCGCCACTTGCACTCTCCGACACCTGCGACGTCACTTGCAATCGACACAAATCGTGCGTGTT